AGGAAAAGGTAGCCAGTGAAGAGCTTTCACTGTAGCTTGAATAATAAGTTGTATTATGCCCCAGAAATATTTCAGTCTTAGTCCCCTTTGCCTTTCTGATTGTTGCGACAGTCTTCTTTCAAAGTGAGGACTGAGAAGTACAGGAGGGAGCGTCTTATGCAAAGTAGGGCCTGATTTTCATTAACTGGATGGAAGAAAAGGTTGGACATTCATGACTTTGTCCTTCCCAGCTCACTTTATGCTTTTATGAAATATTCTCATTTCACCAGGTTAAAGAGGATTATTATTTTTTTTAATTAAGGAGGAAAGGTAGTAATATTCAATTTCACAAGACCTGTTCTATGCTCAACTTTCATAAATTAGATATTTCCCCCATAATTATGTATTTTCCTTACTTCTCTACAGAATAGATAACCAGATAATTCCAAGAAAATAGAAACAGACTGATTCTTTCTTACATAGGACTTGACAGTAACCTATCTTAGTATTTTTTGGCCCATTCTCTGGGGGATTTTTTCTGCAGCATTCTCTGGAGGTGACTTTAAGTTTACCTCAAAAAGACAAAAAAGCCAGTGTGATATTTGTTGTTGCTTCACAGATTTTGGCTTTTTGAGGTTGTTATTGAGAGTTTGTTCATTTATTTATTTATTTTTGACCAGTATGCCTGCAATTTGAGAAAGATGCCACATGTGTGTTGGGTGATGGGCTAGCTTTGTGTATTTATTGCTTAATTTATTCACAGTTTGTTCACTCAGCATTTACTGAGCTTTCTGCAACCAGGGACCACATCTTATTTGTCTCAGACTGAGCACAGAGCCTCGCACTCAGAGGATACCCAGCAAGTATTTGAAAAGGTGAATGAAAGACTAGATCAAACAGGTGAAAGTCAGGCTCAGAATTCTTACAGAAACACTTACTGAGTTCTGACAATGACAAGGGCAATTTCAAGAGGTTTATGACATAAGAAAACAGCACCGCTTTTGGAGATGATAGGGCAGTGCTTTGGCTAAGGGGGGTGGAAAAAGGATTTGAAATTTTGGTAGGACCAAAATATGATCCTTGACTATTAAAATCTGTGTTGCATTGAGCACCTTGTGAGTAAGAAGATGTGGCTTTATCTGGGCTGTCAGGAGGAGTAGCATTTATATAGGTGGAGGGAGTCACTGAGGCATTTCTGGTAGTACAGAAGTTGAAGGGAACCTATAATCATGTAGGCACGGCCGATGTCCTGGGGAGTCAGGGGAGGAACTTTTAAAATGGAATTGAGGGACTTGAATAGAAATTTCTCCAAAGAAGTTGCACAAATGACCAATAAACACATGAAAAGATGCTACATATCACTTGTCATTAGGGAAATGCAAGTCAGAACCACAGTGAGATGCCACTTCACAACTATTAGGTCGGCTATTATCACACACAGAAAGTGACGAGCGTTTGGTGAGGAGGGGGCAGATGGGACCCTCTGCACTACGGGAACCTAGAGTCACACACAGAAAGTGACTGGCATTTGGTGAGGAGGGGGCAGATG